CAAAATCGCAAGATTGCGACTCTTTGTTGCAAAATAATATGAAAAAATCTGGATTATACACAAACAATCAAACACGACTCACAAAGTTGAACAAAAAGTAAACAATTTTACGTTGGGAAAGAAAAACAACCCAAAGATATGAGTGCTGCAGAACAAAAATCTATGAAATTTGGTGCGTGCTATCAATAAATAGTAGTCGAGCACACCATTTGAGATGAGAAGAGAAGCGCAAAAACCCTCGACTCAACTATTCTGAAAGGTTTTGATGGGTCAGAAACTGTCGTTTTCTTGCGCTGGAAAAGTTGGACACGATTCATATGTCGTCTCCATGGTTATGGTGATTCATTTGTTTTTCTCTAAAATAGGTTCAGAGTTTCGGTTGCACTAGGGAGAGGGACAATAAAAGGGCATAATTTAGGGCTTGGGCAAATTAAATGCCCAAATTCAACTAAGCGAAATAAAAAGGAAGAAAAATCGTGAAAAAGAGAAACAATGTAGAAGATTTTGTTTGTGTATGAGAGAGAGGGTAAGGGATATAGAGAAAATTAAATATAATAAAAGTACCACCCAATAATGAACTCTAGGGGAGGAAAAAATGAAAGACAATTGGTTAGTTTGACATAATAATATACCATTGTATTTAAAAAATATTTTAGAAAATATAAGGGATGTCCTTATTTCACAATTACCATTCCCCTATTTTATTCTACATCCTTAGATCTTTGAATACAATAACAACCATCGGGTTTACGTAGTCACTGCCACCACGTGGGTGTGGACTGTGAACCATATAATTATTAACGGATTTACTGGGTGATACAACATTCAAGATAACTCTACAAACTGGACAGAGTGGTTAGCTCGGTCGTGGACGATTCAGGAGAGCTCAATCTGCTTCTACCATTTACATGTGTCAAGGAGCCCCACGGAGAAGGCTCAAGGTCTAGCGTAACAACGTTCAGGTAGCTCGGAGGTCGAGAGACCTGACGAGCTAGGACGCAGGAGAGACCTCATGATTAGGTCGGTGGGGTTGAGGTCGTGATTATGACCTGGATAAGACTTGTGGCATATAGGTGTGAAGGTCGGCTTATGACCTCGAGACTTAGGGTTGTGCAACAAAAGGAAAGAATCCGTCATGGATAGGAAGTATGTATATCGGTAAAGGCTCATATGTTCATAAGATCTTTCTAGTTATGAAAGTGGATATAGGAGGATATCTTTCCTAACTGGAACTCTCTTGATCACGCAAAGACTCATAAATTCATTGTCGGTCCAACAATGTTCAACCATTGGTCCGACTAATAAATCATTGAACAGCTTGAATGATTCAGTTATCACAACTTTGCTTTCTAACGAGTAATGCTTTCTAACATTAAAATGTGTTTGCCTTTTATAAATTTTTAGTGATATTTCAAGAATAAAATATATAAATAAATCTTATCCGGAATCCCACATTTATTAAATTCAATATTTTTAATAATTTTACGAAGAATTAAAAATCTTTAAGTTTTTGAAAAAAAAAAAAAAGATTGTAATTTATTACGTTAATTGTAATACAATATGTCGAATTGTATGTTAAAAAAGCAATTACTTTTCTCCATTAATTATAAAGAACAACCGCAAACGAGCTTGAACCCGCGCGAGCTTCTGTGTAGGAAGGGGTTTAGGGATCTGCCTCTGAAAAAAATTCCTTTAAGAGTACGATGTCAGTTTAATGATTTTAAAAACTTCAGACAATTCACAAAAGAGATGTCTTTGCGGTCTAAATTGTGTAAGGAACTCCGAAATTATGCTCAGTTGCGGACCAAACCCTGTGGTTCTCTGCCAATTGCAGGTATGTGTTTCACCTCACTTAGTATTGTATGACAATCTGTTTTGAAGAGATTAAGCACTCGCGCTTCCTTATTAAGGTTATTTGAAAAGAAAAGTAATAAATAAAAGAAAAAGAACTACTGGGTTGTGTAGGTGGCTGGGGTGAAGGGATTTGGTGATTGATAATCGGTGGGAGTGGAAATGGATGGGATACGGATCGCAGGACGATGACGTAAATCGTAAAAGTAAATGCACAACAATGTGATGAAGATGATGTTGATAATGTGAATTTGAAATATTACTTGGGAAATTTGGTCCATTTGAAGTACTGGTTCTCATGAATTGTGTTAGTCTGATGATGTTAGGATTCTTTTCGGACGATGTTTTCCCGTCATGAACATTTAATATGGTCTTTTGTATGGGTAACATGCAAGTGAAAAATCTAATGGGGGCGTTATCCTCCGTAAATCATTTCATTTTCAGCTAATAAAGTTTTACAGTACATATCTTCCTTTTACTTGTTTTTGTTAGTGTTTGTCTTCCGGAACTGATGGACCTATAATATTATATCCAGGAAGGTTGAGAACCTCGAGGAGCGATCACAATTTTGGAGGTCATGGATGGAGCAGTCGCAGCCGAGAAGTATTTCATTGGGTTTCTCTCACTGGACCAGCTGGTATGTATTCATCGGGTTTCATCCTTTTGGTTTTATTGCTGCAGAACATCGAGTAAACACCACCGGAAAAACAATGAAAATGAAACCATTTGGGATGTACTTGTAAGGAGAAGTAAGAGGGTGAAGGTGGAAGATTAGGGACCTCGAGAATGTAATCTGCAGGAAAGTTTAAAAAAGTGATGCATCTGATAGATGAAGATGTTTTGTAGTGGGAAAAGATGTTATTTTGAGTCAATGTCAAATGAAAATCAAGGTATAGTTTTATAGGATGCGAGAAAATGTAATCTTTGGAGTACAATGAAAATAGTAGTGCTGAAAGTCAAAGGAAATTTTTAAGAATAAATAAAATTAGTGAAAGCATAGATATTTATTGTGCTCGGGCCATTGTAGACATTGTTACTGTGATTATAGTGGCTATCGCATGAGCATACACAGTACTTCCTCAGATAAATTAATTTCTTATTTTTCAGTAGACTGAGTTAGCTTGTTTTCGCCCGATAAAATTGTCTATGATTTTATTTTAGAAACAGAAAATATATCATATACCACTATGGAAGTGATTTTTACATGTTAACACATGTAAAATGCAGAATCTTGTTTAATATTTTCGCACCTGTCTTCAATCAGGCAGCTGCATTTCTGCTCAGACATTGATAGTTTCACTTGTGTGTTTTTTTATGCGGTGAAGCTAGGATTTTGAGGCATCCACTATTATAAATTTTCTGTGCTGCAGCCATCATTTTGGGGACATGCTTGACACCTTCCTTAGCTGAAGATGTTTCAAATGAATCAAATTCCAAGAGCGGTACTGAGAGCACATATTATAGTAGCTTTCAAAAGATTGAGGATGGGTCAGTGATTTCAAATGAGCATACATCAAAATGGAGAATTTTCACTGATAACGGAAGGGATTACTTTTTAAATGCAAGTGCTTTTGACTCTGTTCTCGTATGGTTGCTAGACATTATTATCTAGAACTTTCTTTTGATGATCTTTTTGTATATAGGGGAATATCGAGCAAGCTGAGAAATTCTTTCAATCTGCATTACAAGAAGCTAGAGAGGGTTTTGGAGATACGGATCCTCATGTTGCCTCCTCTTGCAATAACCTGGTGGATTTTTCCTCTAGCACTCATTATTATAATTAGGGAAAATTACACTTTTGCCTATCAAACTTTGCGCTATTTTACACTTTCCCCACCAAACTTCGTTTTGTGACACTTAACCAGGCAAAACTTCGTGAAATGTTGTACTTCACCTGTTTTCAGTCACCGGCGGCCATTCTCAGGGGCTTTTCTGTCTTTTCAATCTCTAGAACAGGAACAAAATTGTCTGAACACATGTATCTTCTCTTATAACTGATCTTAAAACATAAATTGAAGAAAAAAATTCCCAAATTGCAAAAACCTAAATTGAATCTTGAAGAAATGGCGGAAGAGGCGATTTGGGAGCAAACATCTGAGGTCACTTTGGATGAATATTGCAAGTGCAGTAAGAAGACGGTGATGATCACATCTTGGACGGACAACAACTCAGGAAGGCGGTATGCAGCCTGCAAAATATGAATTAACATATTTTGTCAGCAAAAAACACAAAACAAAACCATATGACGGGCCATTCGTACTGGATGAATCGTTTTTCTCACGAATTTGCCAACCCATTACTAATGATTTGAAGAAAATATAGCTATCCAATCAGTTTATTTGGTTTGTTCTTCTCTTTTTTCTCAGAATTTTGGCACGATTTGAACAAAACTAGGGTTTTTTCTTTCAATCATTGCCCCAATTTTTTTCTTTCGCGTTTAATTGAACCCCAATTGGGGTTTGGGAATTTCGTCCATATTTTAGAGATTGAAAAGACAGAAAAGCCCCTGAGAATGGCCGCCGGTGACCGGAAACAGGTGAAGTGCAACATTTCACGTTAAGTGTCACAAAACGAAGTTTGGTGGGCAAAGTGTAAAAGAGTTCGAAGTTTGGTGAGCAAAGTGTAATTTTCCCTTTATAATTATAAAAGTTTTCTTTTGGCTAATGCTTTCCTAATTTGTTGGGTTGTTTGTTTGAGGCGATTAAACATAGCTTTGTATTTATCTATTTAATCTTTGTTTAATGTTAATTTGTGTTTGGTGGATAGAGAGATGTTCTGTGTATTTTTTATGTTATTAATAGATCAATTTTGCTATTTGATACTACAATTACCTCTACTCCTAAGGAATTTTAATGGAAAACATCCATCTCTTTGAAACTTTGTCAACCTTCTCTGCTGTGTATGATCTCAAGAAGTTTGTGAAACTGTGACCTTTATTGCAGGCTGAGCTGTTTAGAGTAAAAAAGGACTATGACAAAGCAGAACCATTGTACTTGGAGGCCATTGATATACTGGAAAATTATTTTGGAACAGAAGACGTAAGGTGATATCTTTTATTTGGGTTAAAATTTTTCATTATTGTTTGCTTTTTATTGGCAATTGTCCAAAGTTGTTTATTTTCCTATGCAAGTATTGGCAACTATTAAGTAAATTGTTGAGAGAAATTTGCCTATGTGCAATTGAACATGAAAGAAATAAGGTCCATGATTCCGAAAGTTGTGCAGTGTGACGTGAAGGTTTGTGAAACTTCAAGCGACGTCGCAATAAAACTGAATCTGATGAAAAAGAAAATTGAAACACAGAGCGGAAGACTTGATGAAACACACAAACAAAGATAAACACCAACGAAATAAACACAAGAACCATAAAAAGCCAGACACAAAGATTTAACTTATTGCACTTGTAAAAATACTTTTGCAAAGCCCTTAAGACAAAAGTATGTTAGATGAGAAGTTAAAAAAAGAAGATTAAAACTAGAATGAAAACTCTCGTTTTTAGATTTTGTTTCTCGTCCAACTCGTCATCAACACATGTGAGAACCTAAAACATCAGCACATCCCACATTAAAGCTTAGGAGCTCCCTAAAGTACATAAGCACATGAAACTCTTGTGCTGCCAAACCAAAACTCGACTCTCTTTTTCTCGATATGTATCTATTATTCTTAGTATCTCTTCTGTGGGTTATTGAGTTATCCCTGTCTTCAGTTTCTTTATCATTGAATAGGCCCATTAGGAATAACCTCCAAGTATCTCCAAGATTACTTTGTTAGTGACCTGGACAGTTTTGATTTGGGGATGGTTAACCCTGGTGGAGGAATGATGATGGCGATAGGTTGCGCCAATTATGGCTAAGAGACATTTTATTTTGCATCTAGACCATTTCATCCATTCCATATAATTGCTATTTCATATTTTTCAAACAGCCCTGAATTATATTGATATGCCTAAATTAAATTTTCATGAACTGAGTTTATTTAGTGTAAACTGCTGAAGCTTGCACATAACGGTGTCATGTAGATTGGATGAGTTAATATTTCATATTGTAGAGTTGGAGCTGCTCTTCATAATCTTGGTCAGTTCTACCTTGTACAGAGAAAATTAGAAAAAGCTCGTCTTTGCTATGAGGTAAATAATCTTCTGCCCTAGATGTTTTAGAGCTGTAGTTGCTTTCTTGCTGATATTATCACGCAGTTGGTTGATTGCTTTCACCACCATTCAGTTTTGTGGTGAAATAAATATGACTTTGTGAACTGTGTTAGACCTTTGACGTTTGTTTTCATTTCAGAAATCACACCTAACAATAGGGTTATCTTGAAACAAAGAAAATCTTCTGGGACATTTCTAATAACTCGTTTTGGATTTGAAAAGAAAATGGGTTTCTTTGTGATTGAGTTATAACTCACAATTTGTATTTGGAATTTTCCGCATCTAATACTTGATTTTCACAATGGAGGTGTCTAATTGAGTTGATACTCTTCTCATTCATTATATGAGGGTTGGGTAAACAACCCACAATGCTTTCCGGATTTTATGTTTCATTTAAATTTGGATCATTGAAGATTAGTTATTTGTTTCTCAAAACCATTGAGAAGCTAGAGCTGTAACTTTTGGTAGCTTTGGGGATTCTCTTATTCATCTGGAATTCTGGATAGTGATGGATCAACTTACCCCTCAGCTCCTACACATAATTTAATCGCATCAGTAATTCTTAAGTAACGAGAGAATATAACATAATCAACTATGTATAGGATTAGCATGGTGCCTCAACTCTATTAATATTGTATTGTCAATGTGAAACTTCCCCATTTAACAGTGTTTCCTTATATTTACTAAGTGTGCCTTTTTCGTAACAAGCTCTGTAGTTATGTAGCTGTACCCTGACACCAATGTGCATGAATAAACCTATTCGCCAGAGCATCATATTTTCAAGTTTTATGTAACATTATGCTGTATCTCAACAGTTTCTGATTTGGAAGAGTTTAAGATTACAATCTTTGAAATGTATCTCATGATGCCATCGACGCACATAGCTCTATAAATGTATCTCCTTAAGTTACTGCTGAATACTTTAGATCTGTTGGTCATTCGAATTTCCTATCATAGTAATCAACGTTTAAATCAATATTGGTTTAAATGCTTCACTGAATTCTTTTATTTGTTTAGTTCATCAATTTCTGACAAAGCCATGTTTCTCTTTGACATCTTCTCTAACAGCGGGCGGTGAAGGTGTGTATCAATCATTATATCATGCATTTATCTTCTTCAGTTATGGAGATTGGGAAATATGCTACTGGTTCTTTCATTTTTTGATTGGTTAGATAAAGCGGCGTGTATTAGGAGAAGCACACCCAGAGTATGCTGATGCTATGTACCATCTCGGGAGTGTAAGTCCGAAGAAATATTTATTGATGTTTCTCAACGTAACTTCACTTCAGAATTCATCCATGCCCTTTATTTGCGTTTTGAGTTTTGACTTGTTGGAATTTGTTATGGTTTTCTGTGATGTGACCCTGTTTGAATCGTATATCACTATTCTCATGCACAACACCGTGTTCAAGTAACTTACTATGTCATATAGCTTTCAAGCCTCTTTCTAAACTGTATCTTATAGAGAATACAACACAAGTAATTTATATTGCCATATAGCATTCTTGCCCGTATTGTCTTCTGATAATGTTTTTGTACTAAGTCTTACCATATACATTTACTACTTTCAGGTTTTGTATCTCCAAGGGGAAGAGAAGGATGCCGTGGATCTAATTGCAGATTCTATAAGAGTACTGGAGGTCTTCAAAACCCTTTTAAAATGAATGCTTGCGGTTATCCATATTACTCGAATTATATCAGTTTTCATTTTCCTTTTCGCAAACATGTAGGCTGGTGGCCAAGGAGAGTCTGTAGTATGTGTCCGAAGAACACAGTATCTCGCTCAGGTAGTTTCATATTTGATGGACATTTGATGTTAGGGGTCCACGCAGTAGAATATACTTAAAACGTAACCCCCACTCGTCCATATCCACAGACCTCTATTACAATTCTAAATATGCTGGAATTGGAAAACTTATTTAGGGAAAAAAAAATGTCTAAAAGTGGGTTAATAAATAGTTTGAAAAAAAAAAATATGGTGGAAGAATGAAATACTTGTGCGATTGTGAAATTAAAATAATTAAAAGTTGATATGATATAAAAATAGTAAACTAATGAATGTAAACGACTAATACTTAAATATATGTATAGATGAATAGTGAATTTTGTTGAATAATGTGTTGTAATGATTAATTTTTATAATTTAATTGTGTTCATAAGATTGAGTAGAGAAAAGTAAACATGAATGAATAGTAAATTTCTTAAAAAAAAAATCACACTTTAAATTACAAAAAATAATATCCGACGGGACAAAATGTAAATAATTTATATCCAATCGCCCCTAGAGATTTGATTTAAAATATGTAGAACTATTAAACTGAATTGAACTTAAAATATGATATAACATTATTTATTAAAGAAGAATGGATGTAATTATATGAATTAAAAAATTGGGGCAAGTATTTTTGTTTGCTATCTACATCTATGTAAAAGGGGAGTTAATTGCTAAAAATGTTTGCTAGGTTGACAAAATTGGTGGATATCTTTCCTTGTATTGTATTATATTATGAATACGGGGAAATATTTATGTATAGTATTAGATGTAGGAAAATTTGTAAATAATTTGATAAAATATGGTTTTGAATTTCTTATGTAACTTTATTCGCACACGAACCCATATTTTTTATATTCATCTTTCGTCTAAAATAAGTTTGTTCACTTATATTAATTGCTCTTTTGTTTGATGTTTCTTTATATTAGCAATTTAATAAATTATTAAAATGGTAAATAGTATGCCCATTAATTTTATATTTTATTGTATATATAAACAATCTATAAATTTTTTAAAATAATAATATGCCTTAATTTTAATTCTCATACAACGAACAACCTCGAGTATCACATGGGCACGTATGACAATAATATATGAAATCATTGCTGCTTCGGTGCAAAGAATATATATTGGTTAGATTGATAACAATAGAATTTTGGAACTTCAAATCAGATGGCTTAAGCCTTATTCCTTCACAAATGGATAGTATGGAATAGTAATAAGAAAGGAGAATTAAAAGGTTTAACGAATAGATTTGCCATATATGTTCTTTTCATCACTTCAGACTTCCATCGATTGCTATGCCATGTCACCTAAATTCATAGGATACGCTGCATAACATTTCTTTAATGGCAGACGTTCTGCAAGGGAAAGCTGATGGGGTAGGGATGACTTATATATGTTTTGTTTTGAATATAACATACCAATATAAAACTGAATTGAAATAATGAACCCAGTCCTAGTCATCGTATTTCTCATTTATCCTTTAATTTAATTTTTTCAATTACCATTAGTTGTATGTATTGCCTTACATTCAAGATGTTCCGTTTAGGCAACGAATTTAGAACCCAAATAATCATCGATTTATTTTTCTTTCTATTTTAGATGTACACCAAGTCCAATCGATTTGCTGAGGCTGAGGCTTTATTGAGAAAAATTCTTCATATGATGGAACTATTAAGGGTACATTTATTCTATTTTTTTTTTATCTATTTTAGAAGAGTATGAGGTTTATTACAATTTACTATTAGATGGCATTTTCTCTTTGTTGTGCAATAGTGGTGCTTCTAAAGTATCAATTTTGATTCAATCAGCTGCTGAAAGAAATATGGATTATTTGGAATATCCTGTTGTTGAATGGCATATGAACATTGGCAACACATTCTTGCTCTCTTGATATTCTTAAAGGAACAATCTGTTGCTTTTGACTTAAGTTATCGTTGCAAGCACAAGTATTCTGTGTTTTTAGTCTCCATAGTTTAAATCGTGAAAGTGATATATGACGTAGGGGTGGAAATCTTTGGATACTGTTCTTGTAGCTGAACGACTTGCATTGGTCCTTGAAAAAGCAAGTAGATTAATGGAAGCAGAAGAATTATTAGAGAGGTATTATAATTAATATTAAGCACTAAGTAAGGGTGAGTGCTTCATGATTTATACTGAAGAATGACGTGTGTTCCTCTTGCAGATGTCTTGATGCTCGGAGAAACTTGCTTCCTGATGAGCATATTCAGGTTTTCCAGATTATTCTTCCCGACCTTATCTAATCTCTCCAGATAAATATTCCGTCTTATGTCATCTATCTTTGGCGTTTGTTTTGATATATGTTTACATCTTTTTAAATTTGTGCCTCATTTAAAGCTCATACCAAATTCAATGTGTCCATTCTCTCTTCATCCCTCATTTTGGAAGACCTATTACTATCGAAAAGTTATGGTATGAATCAATAGAGTTCTATGACTAGAAGTGCTTTTTTTTTTTTTTTTAATTTTTTTTAATATGTATGACTTGCATTGTATTATTGATTTATTGTCCTAACCATTTGCTTTTCTTTTGGTTACTCTTTTTTCGAGATATAATTCCCGTCTTTTACCCTCTCCGAGATTCCTTATTCATTCCTTCAGAAGATATGCCAGTAATAACCATGTTTGCTGTTAGCAGAATGCAGCAAATATGCTTTACATTGCCAGAGTGAAAGTGCGCATCTCCAAGCAGCTACTGAAGACAAAAGGCTCACAAGTTACGGCTGAGCTGGATATGGCAAAACATCTTTTGCTCAATTCGATAAGGTTAGCCATATAGATCCTTAAATTTGTCACATTCTGCCGTTCTTCATATTTGTCTGATATATAATATGTGTGTCTGTGTGTGTGTGTGTGTGCGTGCTTGTGTGTGTCTGTGTCTGTGCGCGTGTTTCTTTTTAGTTCATTCATTTTTTCGATCAGTCTTTTTTCAATGTTTGATATGCAGTTCCTTTCTTCTCGTATATGAATTATGATAGCTTTAATGAAAGGGGCGATATGGTTCGTTAAAGGCTGAACACACAAATGCACTTATATTTTCGTTTCCAATTTTCTCTCGCAACAAATTATGAATATATCCTTTCTAATCTCCTTCTGTACAAGAATCAATGATTTTGGTATTCACAGATATAAATAGATAGAGAAAAGTTTATTGTTCGTTAGATTTATACTCTTAAGATATGCCTTCTGAGTTAAACAGTGTGTTCAAGAAAAGAAGGAATTAGAGAAGATAAGTTGTTCTAAACATGATCTCTGTTGATATAAAAAAAATCATGCATTCCTAATATTAGATTCATCTCTCCCATTCTGCTACTCCCAATATATTTGGCGTTCTTTATTAATCCTCTCCTTTTGTTAATCAAGTCGAAATCCATATCAAGCCATTGTTGTTATTAATACTGTTTTGATTATTATGTCTAATTAGACATGGGCCGCATATACTTGAGATATTTAAATTTGTACGTGTTACTTCGAATCTTCAGTTTTACGCATTTAGTTATTAGCATGTAAATGAATTACACTATCCTTATAATACCTTTCACGAGGGAGGGATTATGAATCAAGCTCTTCTCATTATTTGCAAGTTCTGTTGTGCTAGTACAATCATTTGGCGATTTCTGCTTATCATATATATTTAGGGCTTTTCTGTATTCTTTATTTAGATTTAAATGGAATTGTAAGGCTTGAGTGGATTTCAATTGTGTATTCTCGTTTTTGCATGGGTCATCTTCACAGGGTGGCTCGACTGTGTTTGGAACAGAAAGTAAAAGAAAAGCCCAGTGGCGTACACAGAGGAAATGAAAAAGATGCGCAATCGGCAATCTTGATACTGGTTAGTGCCACATTTTTCTGAACTTATTCTACAGTTTATCTTTATGATATAAAGAGAGTATTGGTACTTTATGGCTAACTATTTGAAGGTAAATTCACATGAAATATTTTACTGTAGAAGCAAGCTTCTATTATGAGGAATTCTTGGTTCATCATGAGTTTTCTTTATATTTGTGGCTAAAATTGTAGTGATTGGGATGGGTTTTTGTCGATCAATAAGAATAGGAGAACCGAATATCCTCCTTATCATATTTTCTTCTATTCTAAATTTCTGATAGTCTGATGTAAATATTAGCATATAACAATGTCATTAACGTAAAAGAGAAGTCCAATTTATTTACAATTTCAGATTTCTCACTTTGTTTTGAGTTTTCCCTTGTCTGTATCAGTTCTTTAATTTAAGTAAAAAACGTATGATTAACTGGATTTTCAGCATTTGTAAGAATAAAAATCGCAGAATAATGAAATAAATTATACCGTGTCAAATATCTTTTGTTAAGAAAAAGAGCTAGTCAGGGGCGGTGTGGGCTGACCCAGGATTTCAAGTCGTACAACACTAAATAATTCAATTAAAAGCTGTCATTTGATAAAATTATTCAAAAAAAAAAAAAAAAATATGTTGAATCCACAACCACATTAATAATCCACAGAAATTACAAGAAATTTTACATTCAAATAATCACAAAATCTACAAAATTTATTAACAATTATCTTAAACAATCAAATTAGACAATTAAGATTTAAATCAAGACCTTAGAGGCTAGATTATTTCATTTACTACAATTATTTTCCAAATAACCCATTGACTACTAGATTTATAACCCATTGACTATTAATCTAGTCAAATTATATACTTATATAACAGTACTACAGAGGTCTTTCTCTAAAATATGAAAAGGAAAAGGGCAAAACGAATAGAACAATACTGTGTATATTTGTGGTTTGGGAGGAATGGAGGAGCAAAATTTATTTTATTTTTCTTTTCTCAATATAAGTTGTTCACCATTTCTTTTAAAGTTGGGGGTACAATGAACCCTTATGGGTCTGCCCTCGTCTCTAGTGGTAGTTTTCTCTTTAATAATCTATTGATGTGCACTCAATTAAATTGCCCGGAAGCTGCTGCAATTTTTTCATAAATGTAAGCATTTTAAGCTTATGTTCCCGGCTGCATATTTGTGTTTCTTGATCCTCCTATTGAATGTCCTAAGTTTTTGGTTAATTACTTAATAAACATGAATGTATCCTGAAAGTTGGATTATGCTTAATAACAGCTGTATGTGTTTGACTACCTGTAACATTATCAAACCAATTGTATTTCTTACTTAAATTTTTTATAGCTTACAAGTTGCTGAACGATTTTTTTGATTTAAAATTTGTATAGCTTCAATCACTCAATGCTCTTGGGACTCTGGAGATTATGATTCAGGAACTTATGGGCTCAGGGGTAAGGTTTATTATAATTCTATATGCGTTTTGCATTGGGTTCATGCTTACATGGCTTTTCTAAAACCAGATCATATAAGGGTTGTGTCATGTTTATAAACTCCCTCGGGTGAGAATATTGTTACAGAGGCATCTTTTTCCGATATTTTGTTTTCTCGAGAAAATTTTTCTGGCAAAGTTTATTTACATGGATTTCTTCAAGTTATTTCTTTAGTAAAATACCATGTTCTTTCCTTGGAGGTTGGGTAAGTGGTGAACGGTATAATCCCTTCCATAATTTATGGGAGGTCATTAGGATGATAAGGAAAAAAAATAGATAAAAAATAATATGTATAAAAAATAATTTTATTTATTTATTGGTTTTTGTTGATCTGATGCTGATTCCTTTTTTACGGTGCAATTTCTCCTCTCGTTTCTTGATGCTGGAATATATGCTTTGTTTCTTCTCTGAGAACAGGGGCATGTTCCTAAGGCCGAGGCTGCTCTTAGTCAATGTGTATCTACTTTTAAGGAGGTATATTATGCTTGACTATAGGTTTGTTGTTTGATTGTGAAGTATTGGATTTAAGTTTCTTTGTGTGTTGTACCGTGACTTTTTTAGCGTCTGGTCGGGTATATGGTACATCTTACCATGCACCAAACATATAGAATAAAAAATAAAAACCGACATTATTCGTTCCTACTGAATGTCCCTTTATTTTATTTTTCCTCTTTTTTGTTTTACTTTATGCAGTTTGGGTCTGAGTATTCGATATCCGATACTCCCCAAGTGAAGGCCGAGTATTTGTTATGTTTAAAGCATCTGGATTACTTGATAAGCAATGGGAAGTCAAGCAAAGTCGAAAATGCAAAAGAAATAAGAGGTGAAATTCAGCGTGTCGAAACTGAATTAGCAAAGATTGAACAGAGAAGAAGCTAAATCCACCACCTGTCTCCCCCGAACATCATACTTGCTTTAGTTGAAATCCATTACGAACAATAACAATATTTCCCAATAAGTATCGTGATTTCTTGCAGTTTAGTGGATCCAGTACAGAACCATATTATTTAACTGGGTTTTGGGGATCGATTAAACTCCTATTTTTCATACGATGCTTAAATTCTATAAGTTAGAACAGATGACATGCCTTTGTCAGATAAAACTGTCATTTCAACAGGGTTTCTATAAATATATCCAATGGCTATCTTCTGAATCATTGTTTCTTGCATTATTATCACTGCCTATGAAAGAGATGAATCTTTGTTACTCCATCTACAGTTAGTTGTTTACATGCCACTGGTCGTCGATTTATTCGGTTAGATGTTGAAAAATTTTGCTGGTTGTGAAGAAGAAAAGATTTCTTAATGTATAGGTGAATCTGGTTGGTGGCTCTATGTAAGTATATATACATGCATGCACAAATCTGATTCCTTCTATATGATGAGATTCTGATTACCAACATTTATTGGAGCTTGGTGCAACATCTGTATAGCAAAGGTTTGTCTTCAATCATTGTCTTAAATGAGCTTGGTGCAACAACTATATATCAAAGGTTGTCTGTTAAAAATTTTGATCAATCTCTGTCCCACATCGGATATGTACCAAAGATGTGTAGGATTTTTTTAATATAAATAGGTCCTTGTCTTCGGGTTATAATTGCATCTTATTCTCTTCTCTCATATCTTAGAAGGAAATCAATAATTAAGGAAATTCTAATTTGTGGATTATTTAAATTGTATTTTGTTGGTGACTTGGCATTGCGATTGACGCTGCTCGGAGATGTAGACAATATTGGTCAAACTCCGTCATCAATTTTGTGTTCTTTTTTTCTTTCTCGTATTTTATTTATTTGTGACGATTTGTTTTTGTTAGTAGTAGTGTCTGCTTTTATTCAGTCGTAGAGTATTTTTATTCGCTGCATTTGTTATGGCACCCAACATTGTCTTCAATCATAATCTTAAATGAGCTTTGGTGCAACAAACTATGTAGCAAAGGTTGTCTTCAATCATAGTCTTTAAATTTCTCCTCAATTATTTGGACACTAATGGACCTTTAGTTTGCACGGGATAACATAAAATAAGACATAGTAGTTGGTAAGATATTAAATAAAAATGTTTGAGATAGTCAATTTATTTTCAAAGTAAGTTATTATTTTAAGCAGATATATATTTGTTTTAAAATATTATAATGTAGAATATAAAAAAATGTTCAGAAAACTGTGGCAATTCATTTGAAAAAAAAAAAAAAGTGTTTATTTTTTGTTTAAAATAGGACAATGGGATCATTTTCAAACCTACCGAATCTGTACAACTGTAAAAGCAGTGTTTTTATTTGCTATATATCTATACTTTATCCAAACATTTCGGCTTAGTGTCACTATAGAATGCAACATATATATAGTATATATCAATATAGTTGCAAATGGATTTGTTTTGTCAAACTTCTTGAATTCAAATTAGAGGTTCAATGATAGTATGTCTAATTGTAGTGTTTGGTAAATAGATGATTCAATTAGTTTACTAGGTTACAAAAACTAGTTTTGAAAAAGTTGGATATAAAACTTATTTAGAAGAGAGGGTTGTGGCAAGAAAAGACTATAAAAAAGTGCGTAAAACAACTCGATACAGTCCAACGTACTTTAAATCGTCTCTGAAGAGCAAGAATGACCTGCAAACAGTCGGGGGTTGAAAGGACGTTGCAGGTCGGTGACCGGTAGCTAGATTGGAGATCGAACAGGCGGCCAAAGACCAAAGACTAGTCAAAGGGGCGGTGACTGGTAGCTTGATTGGAGATCGAACAGGCGGGACAGCTCCCCGTCTTGGCCCGTGGCCCGCGCGGGTTGGCCCGTTTAGGCTCGCTTCCCGACGGGCTTCGAAAATCTCGGCTCAACCCGACCCTTTTGCAATGGTGGGGCGGGATGGGGCGGCCCGCGGGCTACCGGCCAAATTGACAGCTCTACAATCAACTATCAGACCAAATTAATATAGGCTCTAGCAATCATCATCTTAGCTACTAGCGGTCAGGGGCGGAGCTACTTACTCTGTTGCCCGGGCTCTAGCCCAGGGTGACTTTCAAGAAACCATCACTATTATATATAAAATTCTAATTTATTTTGGAGTTGGCCCATAAACAATTCTAACCCACTTTTTTCACACGAAAAGTCCAATAATAGTTCATTACCAATTGTAATCTAGTTTTTTTTTTTTTGTCTGAATAAATATCTTTTCTCGTAATTTCTAATTATTGATAATTACTAATGCAAAAGGATTTGTTTTTAACTTATCTAGGTTATTATTATATATTAAGTTGACGGGTTTCTTAAAAAAAATATAATTAAGAGTGATAGTGGGTCTTCAAGATTTTAATTATGATTTGTAAGTAAAATAGTTTTTATTGTATTATTTATGTTTTGGAAGATACATGTTTTCGTACCAGTAGTTTACAATTTTTTTTTTCCTTCTGATTTGTATTTAACTTTTAGTTTTTCTCTTGCAACAATTTAAATTCCAATATCATTTATCAGATTCAAATTCATGAAATCTAAATGTTTATGATCAAAATGCAGGGCATTTCATAACGTGAATGTACATATTAATTAATTAGGCACGTTCTTGGTTATAAAACAACTAATTTGTAACCGATTACGGTTGGTTAAAAATTCGAAACAGTAACAATAACTAGCTATTGGCGCTTCGTGATTAGTTGTTGAACAGACAGTTACTGTTACGTTTTGGTTTAAACTGCTGGTTTTCAATTCGATATGTTAGTTTTCAAATAATATTCTAATGTTATAATTTGAACATTCTTTAGAAACTACCGAATTTTTTATAAAAGCAATTATTTAAAAAAAAAACAGCGATTTAGATAGATTTTCACCATTTATTTTTTGGAATTTTGGAAAATCAATAAACTTTGATTTTTTATGGTTCTCCTCCCAAAATTTTCAAATATTTTTTTTTCTATTTTAAAACCAAACCTTCTGTTGTGGTTCTGACATTTTAGAATTTGTAATCGAACTATTGATCGACGGTTTGAATCGCCTACTTGACGGTTTCATTTACAAACCTTGAACATTTCTATTTGCAATATTGTTATATTTTATTAAAATAATTTTAGCCCAGGTCAACATGGAATCCTGGCTACGCCCCTGCTAGCGGTGGACATATATTCTCTCTTTTAAAATATGATCCTTAGCTAATAGTTTCATGAAGCCTTAAACATCACCCATATAAAAATATTTGTGTCCCTAGTTCATCTCTCACTATCTATGAAAATAAAATATTAAGTGCCCCTATTTCATCTCTCACTATCTATGATATTTTTCAACTCGATTTGACCCACCAGGTTTAGGGGTGGCAATCAGGCGGGCCGGTTCACCATCCGGCCTGGCCCGGCGGGTCGCCGGGCCTCAATAGCTAGACATGGAATTGGATAAGCACATTGAGGGCCAATTGATTCTGACTGTTCATTGAACTGTCGGTTTTTTAATAAATAATTAAAAAATAAAAAAATAAAAACAACCCGAACCTATTTTTCGGCTCAAACGGCAGATAATAAAAAAAAACTAATATCTGGAATTGGCCTGGTTTTACCACGAGTCCGATTCCAAGACCTGTAGATCCGGGCCGGTAGGCAGGCCGACCATTGCCACCTCTAAGCAGATTGATGTGAATGTCGAATGCATATAATCGGTCCGACCATTTGTGTATATTTATGTGATAAATATGAAATTATAATATTAAAAATTTGTATTATATAACTAAAATAATATAAATTATTTATTTTTCCTAAAATCTATAGGGAACTATTAATAATTATAATATATATTCTTAGTCTCTTAAAATTATTTATTCCATTATACAAGTTACCCGTTGAATTGAGGCCAATCCGAACTCTGAGCCAGAAAACATTGCTAACAAGTGATGTTATACATATATGTAGCCCTTGTAAGAAACGGGGGAAAATGGGTACGGTCCCACAGACGTGAAGCGCACCAAGACAGGGAAAGCCTAGATGAAACTCAAAAGGGGTTTCATCTCAAAACCAATTGGTGGAAGGAGGACTAGCTCATTAGACTTATAAACTAGACCTTTATTTCCCTATATAAACGATGTGGGACAACTCACAAGTGAGTATTCTAATACACGCCTCACTTGTGAGTCCTTAATAAGAAAGCTCAAGCGCATATACGGAGTTGGGTGCCCCAAACCTACTAGAAGCAGGCTCCCATAAACGGGCCGTGGGGAAAAACGGGTATCGCACGGTCCCAATAGAACCGACCTGATACAATGTAGGAAACAGAGGGAAAACGGGTGCGGTCTCACGCACGTAAAGCGCACCATAAACAGGGAAAACCCAGATAAAACTCAAGTGAGGTTCCATCCCAAAACCAATTGGTGGAAGGAGGAGTAGTCCATTAGACTTATAAATTGGACCTTTTTTTTCCTATATAAACGATGTGACAACTCACAAGTGAATATTCTAATACGCCTCCTCACTTGTGAGTCCTTAATAAGAAAGTCCAACCTCATATATAGAGGGTGCCCCATGCTTACTAGAAGCAGACTCTCATAAACGGGTACGTGGGGAAAAACAGGTACGTTATCGCATAGTGCCAATAGAACCGACTCTGATACCATCCGGCTCAGGTACCATGTAAGAAATTGGGGAAAAACGGGTGCGGTCTCACAGACGTGAAGCGCACTAAGACAGAGAACCCAAATAAAGTCCAAGTGGGGTTCCATCCCAAAACCAATTGGTGGAAGGAGGAGGAACTCATTAGACTTATAAATTAGACCTTTTTTCACTATATAAACGATGTGGGACAATTTACAAGTGAATATTCTAATAGCCCGACCAGTTAGTAACTGCACTAGTCATTTGACTTTTCTCGTTAAATTAACCTACAATCAAATACCTATACATAGGTCTGTAAACAA